CACTTACATCAACACATAAGTGAACACCGTTATTCAGCGATCGGAAACACCTTGAAACACAGCATGGCAACAACAGAACAAAGACTGACCATCTTTCCAAAGTTCTGAGGAAATGTAACAGCAAGTTTGATTGCTTAGTCTACGAGATGTTATACATAAAGGACGTCAAGCCTTCTCTTAACACGCAAGCCGACTCCATTCGTGCCAAACTATTTACGTGACACTTTCGTGCATTTTTTTCTCTTATTGTGTTGCTTACCTTGGAAATTATACCCACTGGACCCGCAAATATTTTATGTATTGCTTCAAATTTTATATATTCGTTTTACACCTTATACTTTTTCACTTTCAACTTGATGATGGCGTAACGTAGCGCCGAAACGTCACTCATTTTTTAAAATGTTTTTAAATGTATTTTAAAAATCTTTTAGCGTTTAACTTTTTATCAAATAATTTTGTTATTCATTTATTTTTTCCGAATATAATTACTGAATGTGCTGCATTACTGTGTTAGACTGTCATGAATGTTCTCACTGGCTATTAACTCCCCCCCCCCCCCAAAAAAAAAAAAAAACAAACAACCCCTTCTCAACCTCCCCAAAACTCTTCGTTTTTTTAACTTCAAAAACTCCGCCTTATACACCCGACATAGAGCGACCGTGTGGGGGTTTCGTAAGATTTTTTTTGGCTCCCTATGCCACATTTTCTCATTTACCCCCCCCCCCCCCCCAAAAAAAAAAAGCAACAACAACGCCTTTCATAACTTCCCAAAATTCTCTGTTTATGTCAGTTCGAAATCAGCGCCCTTATAAGACTGAACTCGGCTCTCGTAGTGGGTTGTCCTAAAGTTTTTTTTGGCTGCCTTAAGCAACGTTTCCGGAAGGGATCTATACAAACCTTATGAAGAAACAAGTCTCACGCTTGCCAGTCTGCTGCGTCCAATATCTTGTCTAATTTCGTCTCATTTGGCTACACGGGTGAAAGTCCGATCCTGGGTTTGAGACGGAAAGATTGGATATTGCGAGCTTTGTTTTTGGCAATAACAAGTCTTTGGCCTCACAAAGGGCTGTTTACATGGAGGGAGGAAGATCCTAGAAGGCGAAACAACTTTTCGTTCTGTTTATATGTAGAAATTTGGGAATAATTGACGAATAATCGACGAATCCGATTTGGCCTCCAAATCGCTATCGGCTAATCTGCAGGTAAAGTGTGCTCTGGCGTCTTAATCGCTGGCCCCCCAAACCCTTCGCAACTGCACAATTATCGCTCGCTCATCAACAAACACTTCACCTTTACGCTCCGCCATGAACCGCAAACGGGCAGAATTACTACGCCATTTGGATATTCAAGCATAGCGACCTCGTCCGCGCAACAGCACAACACTTGGTATGGGTGTGACGGTACTACTGCTTCTCGGTCAATCGAAAAATGTGAGCGAACGATGAACGAACAATATGACAGCAACTGTGACAGCAACAAAGAAAAAATCGAACTTGAAAGACGGGAAGGATCGCGCGATCGCGTCTTGTTTTCGGGTCAACACTAACGCAGCGGACCCTCCCTCCGTGTTGATTGACCGAGAAGCAATAGTACCGTCACGAGGAGAAACAGCATTCTTCGATGTACGTGTTACGCATGTGAACTCATCATGTAACCAGAACAAATCCACAGATTTGATCTTCGTAGAGCTTGAAAAAGAGAAGAAAGGGAAGTACAAACAAAGAGTTTCTGAAGTTTCTGTAGCCGTGCAAAACAACGGCAAAGAAATGTAAAAAAAAGTGTGCTGCAACGAACCAAGTTGTTTTTTTGCTAATTAGACCTATTGTTGTTTTTCCACCGTTCTCGTTGCCTTCGCCGCTTAGCATTACACGATTAATTTTATATTTAGTTTGAGTAAACTACAAAAATATTATCGAGAGCGCGTGCCCTGATTGGCTACTCAATCATGCATTGAATATCCTGCGCCTATTCACTGATTCACCTCCAGTGCACTCCGAGCGAGCGACGCCAAACTGGCGTAAGTTGCGAGCAAAATGCCTTCCCGGTTTGCTGCCGTAACAAACGAAGAAATGTCACAACTAATCAAGCAAGCTGTTCCCGAAATACACAAAGAAGGAGACGAAGTTCGGTTTGGAAGTTTTAACAGGTAAAGCTTTGTCTTTTTGACTTGAATTTATCGATAAAACCGGTGAAAAAGTTTTTTGTTAACAAATGCAAATTAAGCTTTTAAGGTTAAAAGTCTTGCGTTACTTTATTTAGTTGACTTGTTCATAAATAAGCTTAAAACTAAATTTAATAATCTTTTTTACAGAATGATTTTAAATACAAAAAGAATTCATAACTCCTTTGAAAGAAATTTCCCCACAACAGCTAAACAAATTCCTACAAGAGTTTTATTTGTCGGCAAGAAAAAGCGACAACCGCGGCCATTCGGTCATTGTAATCGTTGGCAACAGTAGGCAAGTGGTGGATGTGACCACGTTATTGACACACACTACGTTTGGGCCGCCTGTGATCAGAGTTGAGATTTCAACACATGCGTTATTGTAGTAATTCTGTACTACTCAGCAAAATCTAAGTTTGAACTCTTTTGTATCTTTCGAAAACTCCGCAGCTGAAATAAGTATATTATTCAAATGCAAAATAGCAGGCAGTGACACGTACGGTGGCCCAGAAGGGTCTACCCTGATCCCAGAGCTTTTTCTTGATTTTTCTTCGCGAAAGAGAGCAAGAGCAAGCCGCGAAGCGGCGACAAGGAGTCGCGAAAGCGACGAGGAGAGAGAGAAAAAACCTCTGGTTACCTTGGCCTCGAATCTCACTTTCATGCAGACGACAGCTGTCAAACGCGTCAAATTGCTAATAAAAAGAGTGACCAATGGCAATTTAGCAAACACGTGCTTATCAGCCGCTATTTTTTAAAGTGGGAGTAGACCTGGGGAAATTATGTTATGAACAAACCTATTCCACTTGGGTGGTAAAGGGTGATTTGTTAATCGGGGTCAAGCTAAAGCATGTGTTAACGATGGGCGACAAGAGTCCAGGAATAAGAACACTACTTTATAAAAAAAAACCAACATTCTTCCAAACGACTCCTGCAGGATTTGCAGAATTTATGTAAAAATAAGTGGCCGATCTAAAATCAACGTTTTTGGGTATAATAACAAGGATTTTTCACAAACATTGTCATCTGTTCTGTCGGCTGTGTACATGACTCATCGGGATTATCTGTAAGAAGTGCCAGCGGGAAGTTGTAAAGTTTGCAAGAGTCTATCAATCTCGCTTATTATATTGTTTACTTCTGCGGGGCGCGCCGTTCGCGTCGATTCGCGGGCATTCCCCCCAAAATAGTAATATTAATATGTATTCTGACAATCTGGCTCGCATTTTGGTTTGGCGGCTCCATTTCCCTTTTTTGTGGAACAACGGCCCTAGGAAGAGTCATGCAGCACAACAAACCCTTAAGTTTTGGAAATGTACTTTCAGAGGTTTCTTTTGTTGCTCACTGAGACTCAGGAAAGCGCTCATCAAGTACCGAGGTCAAAATTTCTTCGAATATTCCTTCAGGAACAACATCCATGTCAAAATCTCGAAATATGGCGTGCCTTTACGTGTCTTGGTCCCGTGCAAATGTTATTGCGAGTGCAGCATACAAACAATTTTCTTCCCTGGTAGAGAGAGAGGAAAAATGAGGTGTGAAAATCATCAGCGTCCCCTCGGTAGTTACAATTAAACGAGCCAATCAAATTGGTTTGCGTGTTTGATAAAATATCAACCAATCAACGCCCGAGGGTCAGCTCCTGACCCTGTCGTCTGCATGAAAGCGAGATTCGAGGCCAAGGTAACCAGAGGTTTTTCTCTCTCTGCAAATTAAAAATAGGACATGCAAATTAAAAATTGTACATGCAAACTAAAAATATTACCTGCAAATTAAATATATTACATGCAAGCTAAAAATTGTGCTGCAAATTGAAAATAGAAAACATATCGATGCAAATTAAAAATGAAAAGTCCTGCGCGCGCGGTATGAGTGATGAGGACCTGGTCTGAGCCGTGCGACCTGGTCTTACAGCCGTCGGCCCATTCATGTTTCATGTTTGTAACATTTTTAATTTGCAAGTAAAGTTTTTAGTTTGCAGCAACATTTTAAATTTGCATGTGTGACCCTTCTGGGCCACCGTAGATACGTGTATTTTAGTTTATTAATATTGGAACACCTGACATGTAATTTCAACAGAACACGTGTAATTCTGTACGTGTCTCTTTATAGACCGTGTCACGGTTTTCGACGCTATCTTGACGAGTAGGCAAACGCGTGAGAAATGACAGTGTTTGTATAAGGAATCTAATGTCGAATAATTTCCGTAAAACGGCTGCTTTGAAAAAAATATGAATTGTAAACTAAAGCTTCACTCTTAAGGATTCTACTGAAAAAAATTGTGGGCGTTACATGCGCTAGAAGACCTAAAACCTTTTTTTAAAATTTTCTATACATTCGTTTGTAAAAATTTCCCGGGAAAAATTGCAGACAAATAGATGGAAAATCTAAAGCAAGCTTCTGGAGAAATTTAAGCACAGTAACGTCCCCCAAAATTGGTTAGTAAAATCCTTTGCTATGTAACTTTCGTTTAAAATTCATATTTTTTTTTCAGAACAGCCATTTTACGGAAATTATTCGACATTGCATTCTCATACAAACACTGTCATTTCTCACGCGTTTGCCTACTCGTCAAGATGGCGTCGAAAAGTGTGACAAGGTCTATTAAACGAGAACTATATTACATTTCAAAGGAAAAACTCTTGCGCTCTATTCATTCAGCTTGATTTACAACATGTGTTTTTCTAAAAGTTCAGGAACCGAAATAGACAGTATTGTATTTCCACCATAAAGGAAAAGTACTCTAACCAATCGAATTGCATTAAACGCGTTGATTAGCTAGCACGTGTATTTTTCAATAAGTTTTTGTGTTTCTTTGTGATAATCGAACACCTGTGTTTACTGT